TTTGGTAACTTTAATTTCTGTAAGATTATCCTCATTCTGACCCAATGCCGAAGGGAAAAACCAGGTTTTTTAGTGCCTTAAGTAAGGCCAGCATATCCTTGATGTATTTCTCTTAACCAATATATTCTGCCTTCTTAAAATGATTAATGTCACTCAGAAGAAATTCCATAGTCCTTGTATGCATAATTCTAAATCTACTCAGGACAATGTATCTGAAATCCTCCAAAATCCAGCTGAGATAAGGATAAAAATCTTTCCTGCTTTAAAAATAATGCCAGATGTAGACATCCCCACATATAATAGCATACGGTTTTAAATATTGTACTCAGCTACATTGTCTTGTAGATATAACACCTCAACAAATTTCATACCTGAACTCTTTGTGGAGTCTGTATCCAAACTAGCAACAGTACTAGATCTTGAAAGACCACCAAGGCTGGAGTCCACTGACTAGAGAAGGAAAAATATGAAGTTATTCAGGTTAAACCTGTTTCTTTAAAGAAAACTGCTGAATTAAATATGAAATGCATTACAACCATAGATGTTCTAATTATTTAACAGATTATACCTTTTTAATATGGGCTTTAAAAAAAAATCAGCTGGCAAGATGAGATCCTTTTCTTATATTCACCAAAACCAAGAAGAAAATAACCAGATCTTGATATTAGAAAGTTGTATCTAATCATCAAGGGGTCAAATCACTCCTTGTTACAAAAAAACACCTAATCAATACTACATGCATTGAGTTTTTGAAAAAAACAACTAACACTTGCATAGTCAACTTTCATTTGTTATGGAAATGAGCTTAACGAGAACCTTCCTCCTCTTAAACCTACAGTAAAACCACCAGTAGGAAATTAAAAGCTTTCACTTCTATTTTTTTTTTAAATCCCACCTTTATTTCTATAAATAACTCAAGGCAGCAAACATACTTAATGCTCTTTCCTCCTCCTGTGTTCATTACAACGTATCTAAGGCAGAGCTAGAACTCATGGCCTCCCAGTTTTAGTTAACAGAGTTTTGGTTGAGTTCTAAACCAGAATTTATTTTGGTCTACTGGGGGGGGAAAAAAACCCGTTTTATAAAGTTGATTTTATTTAAATTTAGTGAACCATGGCAAAATAGAGAAAATTTTG